ATTGTTTCTTTTATTTGGTTTAATTTCTTTTATGTCTTTAATACATGCCCTTTCAAATACCGTCATACAGTTTGACTTTAAATGAATAGGATAAAATTTAGATGCCTGTTTAAGGTCAGTATGCATATATTCGGAATTTTGAATAATATTAGTATTTGTTCCATTAACTGGTTTATTATTAAAAAAAAATTTCAGACAAAGTCTCCTCAAAAACATAATACCATTAAATTTTTTAAACCGCCATGGTGGAGATCCCTCTGGACTCCAATTCTGCGGCATCCAGACGATGGAAGCCCATTAGAGAGGGGGATGCTTGGAGTCGACGTTGAGCCGCTGTGAGATGAAGTGGATATTCAATCTCGACACTTTGTCTCCCGGCGGACTTAACGTCGACTTCGAGATGTCAGCACTTATTTAACCTCATGCCTTTTATTTGGATTTCCAATTTTTTTAAGAATTTCCTTTCTGTTCCTTTGTCTCCCTCTAAAAGGTTATATAGTATATATTTTTTTAACCATTTATCCATTTTTACACCTTACTTCCATTTTTATATATATTCTTATATTTTATATGTATTATATATATTTTTTTTTTATATACCCTGTTTAAACTTCAAGTATTTCCCTGTAGCCTCAATTTGCAGCTATAAGCAAACAAAAATAAGTTCCTATTAAAAGCAAAAAATTAAGTTCCTATTATAAGTGTGTTTCACTTTAAGAGGATTCTCCTCCTTATATTATAGATGTTTACTATTAACCAATTATCTTGCATTTGAGAGAATGTTCTCATGTATGATGTTTTTATATTAAATATTTTGTATACACTAATTATGCTTTTTGTTCCTTTCAATAAAAGAAAAGAACAACATCAATTTGGAATATTATATATATGTATTGTTTTTATTTAAGGTTTATTTGTATAGAGCTAGGTTCTTTCCCACTTTAAAAATGGCGAAAACGCCAGTGCCACTTGTGTCTAGGGAATCCAAAAGAAACATCGAGAACCCGGAAATGACATCAATACGCCCAGGGCCAGATTAAGAGCCCAGTGGGCCTGGTGCTGACAATTATGACGGGCCTAATTACAGAATCATATCGACCAAAAACAGGAAAACACTCCCAAGCATCATGTATCTGATTGAGATGGTGCTGGAGAGAAAGAAAACAGCAGCTATAAGAATACACATACCCTAGGCTAATCTCTCTCTAATTTATGGTTTTATCTTTCAAGTAAATCCATAACCCCTAACAGCAGTGTCCAGTCAAGCAGGAAGTCAATGGGCATGGTAAAATGGTGTGCCACTGACACAAATCACGTAACCTGCCAAAAGGGGCGAATATGCCCAAAAAGAGGACATGTCTGCTCAAAGAATTAGAAAGCCAGCCTGGCATGAATGCATGTCAGGCTGCCTGCCAATCATGCAGCTGGCCAACGAAGGGCATACTATGCAGACAGCACCCTGAGCTTGGCATAAATGCATCTAATGATGTGCTCACTCAATGCTTACTAAGGGCTGTCCCCTAGCACTCGCTGGCCACTTGTCTCCTTACCTTCTTACTAGCAGACAGAAGCTCCTGGTATATGGTCTGGGACAGAGAAAAGCTGTATGTAGTGAGTGTAGAAGAAAGGGAACATGCCATAGTGTTAGAGAGACCAAAGTCAGCATTACCTTAAAGGATAGCTATAGGGTCAGGAACACAAACATGAATTCATTACTCTATAGTGTTAACATCACCATCTAGTCCCCCTGGGCCCCTCATGCCTCCATAAATATAGCAAAATCCTACTATATTCAAGCCTGAAGCTGTAACTCTGCATGCTGTTAGACTCATAAAAACAAGCAGTCTGCTGACATCATTAGAAGTGGTGGCCTGATCCAATCACAGTGCTTCCCCATAGGATTGGCTGAGACTGACAAAGAGGCAGATCAGGGTCAGAGCCAGCATGATTCAAACACAGCCCTGGCCAATCAGCATCTCCTTATATAGATGAATTTAATTAATGAATCTCTATGAGGAAAGTTCAGTGTCTGCATGCAGAGGGAGGAGACACTGAATGTTTGGATGCATTTTAGGCAGCCATGACCCAGGAAGGATCTCTAACAGTCATCTAAGGAGTGGCCAGTGAAGTTATCACTAGGATGTAATGTAAACACAGCATTTTCTCTGAAAAGACCGTGCTTACAGCAAAAAGCCTGATGGTAATGATTCTACTCACCAGAACAAATTCAATAAGCTGTAGTTGTTCTGGTGACTATAGTGTCCCTTTAACTATATTCATTGTCAGCCAGTCCACACAAGTTTTGTTCCCATACATCCCTCTTAAGTTTCCATACTTAAGTAAGAGTATGTGAAAAGTAGTTAGGGTTGCCACCTTTCTTGGAAAAACATACCGGCCTTACTAATTTGCATAATTAAATATGTGTGGGTGACATCACATGATGTAAATCACAAGGAGTGACATAAGAGAAAATGCCATAAAATCACCAAAAAACTACTTAGTTTAAATCTGCAGTATAGATGGATTCCTCCCAGTGCCCCCGTGTCTCCCAGTGCCCTCATGACTCAGTGCCCCATGTGTCGATTACTCCAGGTCTCAGTGTTCCTATGTATCAGTGTCTCAGTGCCCCATGTCTCCCAGTGTCCCCTAGTGTCGTGTCCCCAGGTCTCCCAGTGATCCTATGTATCAGTGTCTCAATGCCCCATGTACCCCTGTGTCCCCATGTATCCCAGGGCCCCCATGTCACTAGGACACTAGGAAGACGGGGAGACCTGGGGACACGGGGAGACCTAGGGGCACGGAGACACCAGTGACACTGGGAGACTAGGGGGCTATGGCTGGGGCACATGGGGACAATGGGAAAATAGGGGACACTTGAAGACATGGGGACACAGACACCAGGGACAAAGATACTAGAGACACTGGCTGGGGGATATGGGGACATTGAGACATGGGGGCACTGGGAGAAATGGGGACACTGAGACACCAGGGCCACAGACACTAGGGACACTAGCTTGGGGACATTGTAACACTTGAGGCACTGAGAGACATGGAGGCACTAGGAGACATGGGGACAGTGAGACACTGGGAGACTAGGGGTCACTGGAAGACTAGGGGGCACTGAGACACCAGGGACACTGGCTGGAAGACATGGGGACACTGTGTCCCCATGTGTCTGTGCCATAATGTCTCCCAGTGTCCCTTAGTGTCTCAGTGTATGTCTCCTTGCAGCCTTTCCCCCCCATCCCTTACTTCCCTGAGCTCTAGGCTGTCACTGCAGGGTGGGAGTTGCTGTCTGGACTCTCTGTAGCTGCACCCCTGCAGATCAGTGAGTATAGATAGGCAGGGAGGGATATGCTGGAACTTCCTATCCCTGCCTGTCTCCACATACAACGACCCCTACTGGCCAGTGCTGGTATTGCATAGTTATCTCCATTTATACTGAGAAAAATACCAACATTTATATTGCCAGTATCACTGCAATATTGGCACCAGCTAGGCAGCCTCAAATACTGGCTGTGCCAATAAAATAAAAGGCAGGTGGAATCCCTAAGAGTAGTGTGTGGAAAAAAAAATGTAAAAAAAATAATAATTTTTTTTTTTTTTAAATCAATGGGCCTATTCCATGGGCCTGGGCCTGGAGCTGCAGCTCCATCAGCCCCTATGTTAATCCGGCCCTGAATACGCCAGACGCCGACTTCAGAATCATGTGACCAGACATCAGGTCACATGATGTGGAAGTCCAATGAACCCGGAAATGAAGACAGACGCTGGCGAACGGCGCCAAATTGGACATTCAACACAACTATTTAAAGAGAAGAAGACCAGCATCCACTATACACTTTGACAAAGACGCGAGGGTCGAAACGTGTTAGTGTTGTGGACTATTTATTTTATGTTATTTTAAGCTTATTTTTTGTTTCCAGTGTTATTTTGTATCCAGTAAAGTTTATTCTTTCTTCACGACATTGGATATCTTGAAATTCATTGAAGGGCTGGAAAAGAGTTATCCTGCTTAGGAAACTGAGAGCCAGAATAAGCGTATTATTCATCTGCCTTCGAAGTCAGAGCCAGCTTTATGTGGCTCTGCATATTGTGAGTGACCCAATACCTTCATAATTGATCAATTTTCCTTATGTTACAGTACTATACTATGCATATGTTTATGTTTCTATTATAGGAAGATCAGGAGGTGTCCAACTCACTATACTAAGTATACAGCCAAGTATTGTATTTTTCTTTGCACCCCCTTTATTAATTTCTCTCACTTTGCATCTGAGTGCCATTTAGTGATTTTAGGCACTGGGGGTAGTTGCCTATCCTTTGGTATTAAGTGCCAATCCACCATTTCTTTGTTTTGTTTGTATTTTACTGCTGAGGGTGCACATTGGGGGACAGTTCCCTTGTGCAATTTAGTGTGGGACACCAGGGAACAAAATTGGGATGGCGGGACAGGACCCTAAAATAGGAACTACCTTGCCAAAATCAGGACAACGTGCAGACCTACAGTCTGTTTTAATTCTCTGCTGCCATGTCCCCATCTTATGATAGACCCAATCTTTTGCAGGGCCTAGGTGACAAAAATTTGAGGGGTCCCTACACTACCCTTGTTCACACAAACACATACATAACTAGCTAGCTAAGTAGACATAAATACAGAGTTGTCCATTCACATACATGTACTTCGCCACATGCACACACACATACCCAGACACACATTAACACTCATCCACCGACACATAACACACATATACTAACACTCTTTAACATACACAAAAATACATACACTAACACTATTACTAACACACATAAACTCCTACCCTTCTTGCTGCCTCAGGTGGTAAGAGCTTCATCTTGTGTTCCTAATTTAATATTACACATGCTGGCCTTTACACCAACTATGACAATTTTATAGAAATCAAAACCTTTTACATTTTATGAAGTTTGATTTGTAGTTCTCAAAGTCAAATGTGGATGAAATAAAAGATGAGTGAACTAAGTTGATTGCAATTTTTTATTAATTTTTTATTTTTATATTCACAGTATAAAATCCTTCATATACTTATGCAGTAGTGATCCTTCCATAATTATACACTATTTACTTTATAATTGTCAGGAATTGACCAGGGGATTGCGTACCCCCAACAAGCAAATCGCATCACTGATGCCCCTAAAGGAAATAGACCTACCCAGAAAGGAGACAGGTCTGCCCAAAGATTTGGCAGATCAGCCTATGATGAATGCAAGCCAGGCGGCTGCAAATCAAGCATGCAGTCCCACTAAGGATAGTGCCTTGAGCATAGCAGAGCACGTCTTATGATGCATGCTTTCTGGGGACAGTTTCCTGGTGTCCCTGAAATTGGAACACCAGGGAATAAAGTTGGTACAGCGGTACATGACCATAAAATCAGGGCAGTTCAGCAGAAATCAGGACAGTTGAGATAGAAACACAGCTGAGATGCAAATATATATCCACATTACCTATTTTTGCAAATAATTGCAATTCCCTCGTAAATTTCTGACATTTTTAAATTCTACCTCATGAGGACGGTGGTCATTTCACAATCAAATTGCACATTTTAGGCAAATTAGACAACACAGAAAAAAATCTAGGATCCAGTTATTTTCAAAGGTTGTGAAGTTTGGCCTAAATTTTTCTTGTCATTTCTACACATTCCCAGTTTAGTAAGAAAATATGTTAATGGTATCTTGTCTTCAAAAGTCATAAGAAGCTAATGCATATATTAATTGATTAGAATTATATTTAAACCAACATACTTGTCATTACTAAGAAGAATTTCAGTTTTACAAAAATATTCAGTACATTAAAATAGCTTTCCATTAAATCGTCGATCTGCTTGTAAATCAAACGCTAGATCCAGAGGAAGAGGTTACTTGTTCATTTAATACCAGAACCGCCAGCACGGAGTGCAACTCATCCGTCCAACACTACCCACTGCCTAAAGATGCGTTTACAATTTCAATCAAGCATTATCCTACCCCAGAAACAACATATAGGATGTACATTTGCATATAATCATTCCCACATCATCATCTTATTAGAGTTCTTGTTTTGTATTCCACATTCCCAAACAATTTTACCACAGTCAATTTTGAGAGCACACATTTTTATATAAAGCATTTCATTAATAAAAAAAAACAAAAGCACAGGAAAACATTTAAAACATTTCCGATTAGCAAACCAGTACATGTAACGTGGCCTGAATAATTGTTCAAAATAATAGGACACAATAACATTAGGAGATACGAAATTGGAAAAAGGTGGATGGGCCTATGGAGTGTCCCATTTATACCACTTACATCACTTGTAGCGTCCAAAATTGATGATCCTGCCTAAAAGTGAGTGGGTCACCAAAAGAAGAGGTGTTTTTGCCTGACATGTATGTCTGCTAGGCTGAATGAGAGCCTCCCAGTGAAGTAGTTTTGCCTCTTTGCTACTTTTTATTGCTTGATTTCCAAATAACATATTTTCCCCAATAATGAAATAGTAAAACCTTGAGCCCACCAAGTATTTATCATCAGTACACTAAGATTGTCAAACGTGTACAATCAAACATTAACCGACCACAGGAATAATATATAGGATGTACCTTTGCCTATAATCATTCCCCCAACATCATCTTATTTTTGGTCTTTGAGGTTTCCCACAACCCTTTGTGCCCTTGTTCTTCTCATGTTTCCTACTTTTCCTCACTTGTTTCACTTAGAAGCCTCTCTTTCTGTCATTTTCTCATTTTAAAGAGACAATATAGTCACCAGAACAACTACAGCTTATTAAATTTGTTCTGGTGAGTAGAATCATTACCTTCAGGCTTTTTGCTGTAAACACTCTCTTTTCAATGAAAATGCAGTGTTTACATTACAGACTAGTGATAACTTCACTGGCCACATCTAAGACGGCTGCTGGAGCTGCTTCCTATCTCAGTCTTGCCTGGTGTGCATCCAAACATTCAGTGTCTCCTCCCTCTGCATGCAGACACTGAACTTTCCTCGCAGAGATTCATTGATTCAATTCATCTCTATGAGGAGATGCTGATTGGCCAGGACTGTTCCTGACCCTATAGTGTTTCTTAAATTAATTACTCTTCTTTTATTTATTTTTTTCACTTTTCTTTATTACTTAATTAGGTTGCATTACATATTTGTTTCTTACATACTGCATGTTCATGCTCAGTAACTTTGAAACATTTGTAGTATTGCTTTTCTATGTATCTGTGACATGGACTGAACAATCCAACGATGTATATGCTACATTATTGCTTTTTTGTTCTGTTTTTTTTTAAAATCTTTAATACATTTTATTTTGAAAAAAGAATAACAATATACATTAACACAAATATATATATATATACATACAAGGGTTTTATTGATTTTCAATTAAAGGGATTCTCCAGTGCCAGGAAAACAAACCCGTTTCCCTGGCACTAGAGAATCCTGGAGTGTCCCCCTCCCTCCTCGCTGAAGGGGTTAAAATCCTCTGTGCTGGGTTAGGCTCCGCCCACGCTCCTCCCGGAGGCTGACATCGGCAGGAGAGACCTGATACGCATGTGCGGCAATGGCCGCGCGCGCATTAGACCTCCCCATAGGAAAGCATTATTCCTATGGGGAAAATCTGACGCTGGAGCTCCATGAGGACGTCCAGCGTCAGATAACGGACCAAAAGTCAGTTTGGATTCCAGAAGCCCTCTAGTGGCTGTCTGTTAGACATATAGGGCAGACTTAGAGCTGCAATGTAAACATTTCAGTTCTTTGGAACTGCAATGTTTTACATTGCAGCACTAAGTGCAAGAGGGTCACAGCACCCAGACTACTTCAATTAGATGAAGTGGTCTGGGTGCCTACAGTGTCCCTTTAATATAAAGGCTCAAACTATCTCGACACTGCCGTGCTGTTAGCAGCATGTCATTATTTTCAGGAAATAAGAATGCATACCTCCCAAGTGTCCCTATTTAGGATGGACCGTCTCTATTTTGGATCCAAATTCCTCGGTTCCCCTTTCCATCCTAATGTCCACCTATTCTAGGAGCTCCATTTTGTTGGTGTGTCTGAATTTATAATAGAGCTCCACTGCAATAATACTCACAGTAACATGTCTTTAAACTACAATAAATTTATTTAGAAATCAGTCTGTGTAAATAAAATAAGATGCTCATTTTCTAAATTACATTCTAGTTGCATAACTTATTATTAGTAAGTCACCTAGAACTTTCTCAGAACAGCTACACCCCTCTTTACACCCCTAAAATCAAAGTATCCCTCTTTGTCCATTTAAGATGTTGGGACAGATGGTTGTGTGTTTCCCTGTTACAAACTTCTCACTTTTAATGCTCATTAAATATCATACTGCATTCTTTTTGGAGCAATGTTTAACAGACCAGTGAGAGATATGAGTGTAGAAGGTATGTGCATACATTCCTCAAAATATCCAGTTTTGCCTGTTTAGAAGGTGGTTGAAAGGCATGTACTAGGCTGCCTGACATATCCTTATATCAACAAGACTGGTGCCTTTTTACTTGGTGGTGCAGCATCAATATGGATTATTTTTGTATTTGCTGTCACTGTATCTTACTAGTTCCTCCATGAAAGGATAGGCAGCTAATTTTGCAATTCGTGTTCCTCTAGTGAATGAATGAAAGATTGCATAAGTGCCTTTTTATAAGACTACATACTAGTTTGGATTAGGAGTAGAATTTAGGTTTTTCGATTCCTCCTTGACAGCAACTCAAACTATATATAGTGCTACTGCCCACTTGTTAATGATGACAACTTCCAATGTAGTAGCACTGCTCACTCCTACCTACACCTGCATTCACATACTGTCATGCCGCACTAATACAACTTAGCATTCATAATATGACGCTACACACAAATTCGCACCTATATTTGTACACTGACACAACACACAAATACACCACTGTATTCACAATTCATTGTAGTAAAGTCTGCGTGCACAGTTGTGCTAACAAACCGCAATGTAATAGCCATTGAGGTCTTTACAAGCCCTCAAGACTAGGGTTAACTCTAATGGATAATGTTTGTATGTTGAAGAGTGTCATATCATTAAGGTAATTAAGGTTTTACTTTGGTTAGACCTTAGCCATCTGTGGTACACTGCTGCAGTAGAGCAGGGCTTGACAATTGTGCCATGAAACCT